GAAGAATTGTTTACGTGTACATGTGCTGTTTAACTTCTTAACGCTAACTTCAGTAGACATTGAAGAACATCGTATTGTCCGTTCTTTTGTATATTTGTCTTGATTACCTCAATTGCAGTTTCTTCATCCTCAATCGACTTAAAAGAGATTTTACGCCTTCGCTGTACTTCGACCGATTTTTAAACGCTTTGTGATAACATATATCCATTGTCTAAAATAAAGCAAATATTTTATTTTAAAGTGATCTTTTGAAAAATTAAAACTCTGCCTATTTTCAAAATATTCATCCTAATGAATGTATCCTAAATACATATCTATCAAGGCCAAATTCAGAGAGTAAATCAAAGACTATTTCCAAATTTATGTAAAAAACGCGGCCTTCGGTTGTATTGGAAATTATTTGTTTGAAAGAAATTAATTAATATTATTAACGCTACTAATTCTAAATATAGTTTTTTATTGAAAGTTCGTATTTTAAAGAAATTAGTTGGTAAAGTCCTTTGAAAAATGCGTTTATTAAAAAAAAAATAAATTAATTGCAGTTTCTGACGGTGTGGTGGGCATTGGCATCACTTCTTATCAACAACTGGAAGTTCCTTCTTCCACAGAAGTCCACTAAGTCCTTCAACTGTTCGTCAGGATTGGCGCAGTCACCCGGGAGATAGGATGAGCATACAACAAACTCTGTCCAACCCTCGGGGGACTTCACCTTCAAAAGCGCAGCTACCTCATCCTTGGAGCAGTAATCTGAAATGGGAAAATGTGTTTGTCTTTTACTAAACAAGATGCAGGCCCTAGGTCTACCCACAGTTGTGTTATTATACAATGACTCACCTGTTACGCCCTTAATCTGATCCTACACTATGTACGACTCTTGGATAAGAGCGATGCCGAGGTGATTCTTCACAAATCTATGAGCCAGGAAATCCGTAGATGCCCTGACATTCGTTCCGGCTCTTGTCTATGGGTTCAGACCCTTTAGCCAAAGGTCCTGCATGGGGCTCTTTTCCCTTTTTGGCCTTCTCGACTTGCGCGCTGGTAAAGTTTTTCTTTTTCGGCCTGCTCTCCTTTTTTTGCCGTCGCAGGAATGGCACTCATCAGGTAGTTGTATTGGTGAAGGTGTGGTCGCTCGGGGATTGTACAAAGTTTGTTGTCTCCCGGACGATTGTGCCCATCGAGACGAACAGTTGAAGGACCTAGTAAACTTCTGTGGAGTAGGAACTTGCAGCAGGTAATAGGAAATGATGCCAATGCCCACCTGGGGAAGCAATGATATAAATAAAAGAGGTGAGTGCCTACTTGAATTTATATTTAGTAATAAATTAACGATTAGGTGGGCTGTGTTTTCTTTCAAGCCCTTCAAATCTCCAAGTGATGACAAGCTATATCCTGTGTTTCTGCAGAGGGGTTTCCAATATATCGCTACTGCGAAATTTTTTGTGTCAACTATGCATGGGATTACATCCCTGAGACATGGAGGGTGGCCAAGTTGACATATACTTCGAAGGCAGATAAGCGAGCAAGCAACCACCCAAGATTTTTTCGTCCCATCAGCCTTACTTCTTTTTTATTAAAAGCAATGGAAAAGGTGGTTGATATGTTTATAAGGGACGACGCACTGGGAAAACTTGCATGAGTCTCAGTATGCCTAACTAGAGCATACGACGCTCGCTCTGCAAAGTCTAGTGGGGGTCCTCGAGAACTCACTAGACGTGCAAGAGATGACAGTTGGCTGCTTTCTTGATGTTGAGGGTGCTATTGATGACACCCCATATCATGTCATCTGCGAGTCGTTGGACAAACGCAACCACGGGAAGATAGGTTTTTGCATTACCGGATAGAATCATTAAGTCCACCACAGATGACGATACACTCTTCATCTCCGCTGCCCAGAAAGGCCCAGCAAGTGGGTGTGCGGGCCAAGCTGGAAATGCTTCAGAATTTGGCCTGCTTGGAAGTGGCGGGGGTTATGCGGACGGCTCCTACTGCTACATTGGAGATAATGATTGGGTTGCCATCACTGCATCTCCACATAGTGAAGAAAGCTCGTCTAAAGACTTATCTTCTTCGCATCGGTAAACAGAGTAACGCTTATTTGGATGCCTGGCCACAATGCACATGCAGGCAACGAAGTTACCAACAGACTGGGGCGGAGAGGATCTAGGGCTGACTTTGTGCAGCCCCTGCCAATCTGCCTTCTTCCGCCGCGGGAACTAGACTCGCCTGCCTAATCGTGGCGGAATGCGGTCTTCACTGGCGGAACACGAAAGGGTGTCGTTAGGTGAAGATGTTTCTGCCAACATGCTAAGTGAAGTTAACCGCGGGCTGTTTTTCGCAGGCCATTCTCCGGTAAGGCATCACCTGCATACACTAGAAAATCGGGCTCTGCCCAGTGCAGATTTTGCGACTGCACGGTATTGGCTGTCCAGCTGCGCAATTGTTTTGAACAGGATTTCCAAAGCGTTCGGGAACTGCTGTCCAACTTTCTTATGGATGTCTCTGGTTTCATACTTGGATCGCGGATATAATGGGGGTGGTTGCGGTGGCCCGGGGAATACTCCTGAACTACCCAGTTACCTTAAAAATCTACAAATCTGCAAAAGCAATCGAATGAAATAATACATTATATCAAGATTTTTAAATTTTCAATTTAAGTTTTACAATGTGTTTAAAAAAAAGATACATATATTGTATCAAAAATTAAATTAAAATTTTTTTTCGATTTTGACAAAATCGTACAACTTTTATTTGATGATTCCGAACAAACCAGATGTCTGCGTTAAAAATTGCAAATATTTTTTAATGCATTTTTCAAATAGAATTTACCAACCGATTTTTTCTAAATTTAGATTTAGAAAAATTTGTAGAATCAGTAGAGCTAAAAATATTAACTAATTTCCTTCCCACAAATAATTTCAGGCACTCCCACTTCCTTTTAAACTACATACATACAGGAGCACGTCACATTATAAAATTTTTGTAAAATTCAGAACGTGATGCATCGTCAAAGTATGAATTTTTTTACAATACGAAATACTACGACACACCATTTTAAATTCACTTAAATTTTAGGTAGATTCTAGATATGTACATATGTATGTACGTATAAAAACTTGTATAATTTTTCTACTTTATAAAATAACCTTTAGCTTAACTTTTTGAAAAAAAAACAAACAAATTCTCCAAATTTAATTTCATTTCTAGTATTTATTTTTTTATAATTGGTGTTCTAATCCTTTTTTGATAATGTTAATCGAGTCATTATACTTCAGATTCGTCTAATTGCAAACTTTTTTCTTCATTATCTTCCAAATCTTCAGAATCATTTTGTGTTCCTCGTAAATCACTAGGATCCCACCAAGACAAGACACCAAGTCCAGATTCATTAATTACTGCCTAAAAGTAAAATAAAATAAATATAATTACAAACGTGTGCGGGTACATATAATTTAATTTAATTTAAATTCGAATTTATAAAGCCGAAGAGAACTGCATGCATAATGCACATGGATGTATACACAGGCATAATATAGTAACCACCACAATAATTTACACTGTACATTTTATATAAAACACAAAACCTAAATTATCATAACTTTTTAAAAAATTATATACTGAATCCAAACTTTGCTTACATGTAATTTTAACATTTCTAGGCTTTTCTGTCAGAAAATGATAACTGCATTTTTGTCATTTCGAGTGCAACACCATTGAAATTTTTTTTTGCGTTTTGTTTTACTAAAACATGAACTAGTTAATGTTTAGCGAGGATGGTTTAAAAAGTTAGCATTTGAAAATGTTGCTACTAAATATTACATAATATTAAAATTTTAAATTATTTTTCTAGATCAAATAAGATATACACTCTTTGCAATTGCAATTAGTATCAATCAGAACTGAATAAGTTCACTTATCTAGTTTTGAAGATTTTAAAACGTGCGTTTCGATTATATGAAAATAACCAACATGAACATTTAAATATGAAATGTGGACATGAGTATTTGTAAATGTTTCATTTTCAACTTGACACGAAATGGTAAAAAAACTAGAACACATTTTCATTTCAAAAGTGTATAAAACGACATGTCTATATTTCAAAAGTTTCTTAAAAAATTTTTATGATCTCGGGAAGCGAATAACTCTTAATAGCGCTTAAAATTTTGAGTAATACTGCTTTCATAACTTTTTTTTGTCAAAAATGTAAATATGCTATGACAGAAGATTTTTAGAAAAAACTTCAAGTTCCATATCATCCAAAAAATTTTTATCATTGTGCTGGTATGAATAGGTGCATTATCATGTTGCTACACAAAATGGTTGTCTATTAAATCTCTGGATACTTTTCTTTCTGGCAGGATAACGTTTTAAATTTTTTTTTTGTTTTTCAATTTGTTAAAAAATAGAACGCTTATGACAATAACATTTTTCATCCAATTCCATTGTTGAAATACTATATGTATTAGGTATTTCCAATAAAAAAAATAGGCTTTATTGTACGATAAACCTATAACACAATTGTTCAAATACAAACTACCTTACTATTTTAGAGAAAACAAACAGTTCTCGGAAGATACTATTTGTAGTAGTGCAAATAATATAGTGCAAATATTTTTGGGGTTTTTGTTTTTACGCTTTTTTTAATTTACATTTGTTTTTTTGTAACTCTGTTTTCGTAAAATTTTGAAAAATTTTTGAATTACCTGTAACAAAATTTGAATTCAATAAATTAGTTTTTTAAAAAGTTATGATAATTTAAGTTTTGCGTTTTAAATAAAATATAATAGAGTGTAAATAATTGTGATGATTACTGTATCCGTGACTTCAATAATGCGTGACTTCGATAAATTGATAACTTTGATACATTTTGGAATACAATTTTTACAATATTAATACATTTGAAAAGTTCTGTGCAAATGTTAATTTTTAACAAACCTTACCACACCACTAAAAACATACAATTTTTATGCTGCCTTTTAAGAAAAACACTTAAAAAGAAGAACTTTATTGCTGAAAATAAATAATTTATTTAATCGGTTATTTCTGGCAACATTTATATATATGAATGTATAAGAAAAGCGTGCTCGATTTTTTCGATACCCGATTTTATTTTACGTATGCACTAACATACCACGTATAGAACGCATTTTGGAAAAGTGTACATTGGCAAGAGCTTTTACTAAACTTTCTGGAATGTGATACTCGTACTTTGTAAAGTTTAAGTTGCAAGCGCATCACTAAAGTCACGGTACTTCTGTAATATTAAAAGTTAAAATTAGTTTGTATTGAGAAAATAATTTTGTTTAAAAAAAATTGGATCTAATTTAGTCTGGCCAAAATATTGGTATTCATAATGTAATTTATATAGTTTTTGATCATACATATAAGAAGTTATAAGCATCTGTACATGCTTATAACTTCGGAACTATGCGATGTAGATTAACCATAGGGAACTTGTTGTACACATAATTGATTGCTCTTTATGTTTGATCTTGAAATCAATCTAATTTAAGACAGTTTTCGAGATAATGCTAATCAAAGCCAGAATTTTTTTTAAACCAGAAAGCTGTCGAAAATTTGTGTTATTTTTGTTTTGGTTTCTTCGATACACTACAATGAGATCTAAAAGTTAATGCCATATAACATTTTCGTTATCTCTCACAGTAAAGATGTAACATTTTCCTCCATCTTTTGCTAGTAAAACGTATTATTAAATAAGATTAACATTTTGGAATACATGCGAAAAATGCAAATTTCATATACATATCTATTAAAAAAATAAAAAAAACTAACGCATATTTCCAAGGAATTTCCAGTATCTATTTAAAAAATAAATGTCACACAAAAAACAAAAATTATGATTATGATGACCACTATTTCAAAAACTATGGCGCAAATCAAATTGATTGTAAGGCTGAAAATAAAGAGCAACCGATTGCCTTTAAACCAAGCCCTGCAGGCAACTCTATATCACGTGGTTCCGAAATTATAACCGTTTATTTGTACGCTGGAGGAATCTGGTACTTTTTTTTTTTAATTTTAAAAATTATACTTATTTTAATTATTAAAATTATAGATTGACAGTCATTTCTTTTTTCGATTTTCACGAATTTTGAATCGTGTTAGGCAAAATATTTCTAGTACTATTGGTATACGATACATAGATTCCATTGTATATTGTTGCTAAAAATTTGCATGTACGCGTAGATGTTTTTATGCAGATCTATATATTTAGTTTAAAATGAATTAATTTCTTGCCATTATTTTATACGGAGTTTTTCCATCTTTAGAAACGTTTTGATTTGGGTCAATTTTTTGCGGGTACACTGGCGAATTTTCCGCAAAAATTTCTCCAGACACCCTGAATTTTATAGATTCGCCTGAAAGATATCAAATATTAGCAATCTCCTTTCACGTGTAACCAACTCTATACCTATGTCCATGTACAAATCATGTTTCTCTCCCGAATCCAAAGGGTATTCCCAGACCCAAGCTTGTTCTGTTTCTTCATACCTAGAAGGATGTTGTAGCGCAGCTGATGGTACAAAAACGTCATCAAAAAACCCCAAAGTAACTTTTGAATTAGAAAATTAAAAGAATATTCTACTGAAATTTCAAATCAAGGATTAAACTTATCAATATAATACTATTTACCATAAACGCCTTCTCTATTGCAAGATCTAATTTTTCCTACCAGCACATCACCAATACTTGGACGGAAAACTATGAAGCGAAAAATTATTTCAGTGTGAGATGATCCGTCTCCTGGCAATATTATAGAATTATTAAGTTGCAACAGACTTTCAAATGTAACGCAAAGACCAACATTTAACAGAACCTCAAGAAAAATTTTGGTTATGAGAAGCTCAACCCACTTTATCTCAACTTACTTTATTTGCTAACTTTCTATTCATTTCATCTCGCAAAGATTCCTCAAGCTTAAATCGAAATTGCCCAGGAACTATTCGAACAGTATCTCTCAATTTAACTAATACAAACATATTAGCATATTTCAAGTTTTCACAAATTGATTTACAGCTCCACGGTCCATCAACATGAAAATAAAAGTTTTTATATTACAATACAATATAAACATCGACTGCAGAGCACAGACTTATTACACTTTCAGTTTTTTTTAAAATACAATAATATCTTGAGGTCTAAAAACTTACAAAACCCTGGTAGCATTGACGTTTTAAAATATGACGTAATCGGGAAGAAATTTGTTGAAAACGAAAATTTATTTATATCACTTCCTATCTCGGCTGGCAGAAATGCAGGCTTAGATCCTTAGAGACAATAACAGTTCACAGCTGACGGATTTACACGTATTCTCATGGGATCTATACAGCGCCATTTTCAACATCACAAATCTCCCACATGATTAACTTTTTTCAAATTTTTAATTAGATGATTAACTTTTTTCAAATTTTTAATTAGAAAAGGTTAAAGTTCAATCTTTTTCTACTTTACTAGTTCTTACATTCATAAAGTTTTGTGTTATTATATTTTATCTTTTACAAATAAAGATTTTTACAAAACTTCATTTGTAAAAACTTTTCCTATACACAAAAGAGAAAAAATATTTACATTTCTTGTACATTATAACAGTTTATGGTCTGGCCACAGCATCTTGACATTACGAAATATCAAGGCCTGGTATATAATACAACGCAGAAACTATTTTTAAATACTAATCAGCCATCTAACACAATATTTTCATTGATTTTATTTACTATATCATTAAAATTTATTATTATATGGTCGCTATTTTCTATGCTTACCGGACAATTGGGGAAAATACTTGGAATTAACCGAAGCCTTTTTTGCGTTTTTGGATAAAAACATGTTTTTTTAAAATGTAAATGGCAAACATCAGTACTCTCAACGGTTTCAAGTTTTTCTAGGAATAGCCGCAATCCATGCTTTCCTACAAAACTCCTAGTTAGGGAACATTTTTCTTTATTATATTTTTATTATGTTTATTTTTATAATTAGACGGACAACCAGGAACCGCGCATTTGCGAACCATAATGATATGAATATATTAAAAATCACTATAATGATAAAGCTTAAAATCTAATGTATTTTTTTTTTAATTTATTTGCATCAAAACTTTATTTTGATGCAAATAAAATAAAAAAAATAATTTTCTTAATAATATACACAACACAAATTTTTCTTTTATTCACTGTATGAAAAAAAATGTTTTACCTTCGTAAAAATTCCGGAACGCTGTTTTTTTAAACTTCCATATTTCCTTTAAAAAAAGGAAAGTTGATTTTTTTCACCAGTTCAAAGTACAAATTTTAAATTTTCTTTTAATAAAAAATTTTTATATTTTTAAAAATTTAAATCCTTACTTTTTCTTCACTACTTTATACTGAAATTTTAAAACGACAAACTGATTTTAACTCTCAATTCGCTCCCATATGCTGTTTCCGTTTGCGCTTACTATTAAGACACCATTCATATCCAGGCAGGACCATTTTATAAATAGATTACTCTTGTTTACCTGCTTATAAAATATGAAAGAATAGCTCTAATAAATTTTGGAAGCACACAATGAACTAGTTTTAAAATAATTATGTACAAAAGAAATCGTTCGGAAGTAGGTACATACATATTTATTTTTAATAACCAAAAAACTAATTGAAATTATTTGAAACAATTCTATAAGTATCCTTTAAGTAATCGAAATGAGATAATAACTCAAATTGTTGAAATGTATAACATTATATTACTTTTATTAACATATTTGTTAGCCGACACTACTCAACTTACCTTATTGAGAAATACAAAATGTACATGAAAAATCATACATCCTTCCTCATTAACATCTGAAACCATACTGAAATATGAATTTGAAGAATATTTTCATTTATTTTTCCTTTCTTTCTTTTTCGGTCAATATAATTTAAATGGGAAACTTTTTGAAAAATGTGTATAATATCCTGAGCTTTTTTGATATATTAAACTCTTTTTTAAGAAAAAAAAAATAAGAAATATGACACGATCAGTGGAATTTAAAGAAAAAAATAGGAACGAAGGCAACAAATCGTAATAATTCGTAAAAAAAATGAGTATTGGGATTTGTAAGATTAATGTCTTTATATCTAACAAGTGCCAATGCTCAGAGAGAAACTTGAAAGCACGAGATTATTTTATATGGGTTTTTTTAAATCGAGGTGGCTATTTTTTGAGAAGATATATTAAAATAAATTCACACTTATTATAAAGCAGGTAAAATTTAGAAAATATATTTGAAAAATCAAGAAAATATATTAATATTTTCATTCATAATTATTTTAAAATCCTTAAAACAGCGGAAAAACAACAAGCACAACCTTCCCCTTCAACGTTTTATATGTTACTGAAAGCATTTCATTATTTTTAAGTGAACAGCTTTCTCATAGGGTAAGTTAACTCAAGACATGGGAAGTAACTGTGGTGTCAAGTTGAAAATATAATTAATGAAAGATAATTATTAAATATTGATATAAATACGTAGTTAAGAAAAAAATTGAAGAGGGAATTAGAAAATAATATCTAAAATACAATCAAATATTATTTGTTAAATACAAATTTTGTATACACTTCTAAATTTTATCTCTATTTGTGAGAAAATTTTTTAAAACTTAATATATTACCTAAGTAAAAAAATATTTAAAAGGTTTTGGAAAAGACAATAACATATTTTTATGACCGGATTTGAATATCTTTTTTATTTTTGAAATAAATAGTGTCTTACGAATAGCAAATGACTCAAAAACTCCAATTGCAAAATGACAGGTAGTAGGTACTGATGTAAATTTTTGTCCGTTTGCGTTTACCATTAAGATTCATACACAGGCAGGGCCATTTTATAAATAGATTGCTCTTGTTTACCTGCTAATAAAATTTGAAAGAAGTGCACAACAAAATTTTTGAAGCACTCAATATAATATGTTTTAAATAGTTTTAAAATAATTATTTAAAAAAAAAATATTTAGAAATATACATGCAATAAAAGAAATAAATACGGAAAAAATTGTGATAAACAAAGTGGAATATTGCACAGACGAGGGGGAATTGGATTCTCAAGAGAAAGAGCAAAAAGCGAAGAGCAGATGTGTCACCTGAAATAAGTCCTGAGGACAAGGCGAGCAAAATAGAAAAATCTCTGCAGATAAATGCACTACAAGAAAGGTCAAACCCCCTTCTGTTATATTAAGCAGTGTGGAGGAATATCCAAAAATAAAGAAGATGCTAAAAGAAGCCAAAATAAACTTTAGAGTCAACATGATGAATAATAATCAACTTAAAATCAATGTTGATCAAGAGCAATATTGCAGAGAATTAACAAAAAAAATAAATGAATCTAAGGTAGAGTGGCATACCTACGAAAATAAAATGACAAGACCTATCAAGTAATGGCTAGAGGCTTGCATCCTTCGTTCCAACCTGAAGATATTAAAAATGAGCTAAAAGAGAAGGGCTTTAAAGTTATTGAAGTCGTTAATAAAATTAGTCGTTATGTACTCCAGCACATGAAAATTAAAATTGATTCACTAAGGAGAAATAATTTGGTTCCTCAGTGCAGAAGGTGTCAGAGATATGGGTACACACAGAGGTTTTGCAAGCATCTGGCTCAATGTGTCAAATGTTCTGGTCCCCGTTTGACGATAAATTGTAGTAAGCAAAAAATCGAAACTCCAAAGTGTGCAAACTGCTCTGAGGCAGATCCTGCGAATTACAGTGGTTGTATAGTCGCAAAGGAATTACAAACAAGGCAACAGGAAAAGGGGATGTGTGAAACAAATCCATGTCCAGCGAATACAAACGTTCCAGAATAAGGTTTTGCGGAATATGGTGGATGCCCCTTAGTATGTGTGAAATGGAGATTTGCACAGAGATCTAAATATTCCATGTGTAGTTGACGAAATTAAAGGAAGAGCGGCAAGACATAGAGCTCGTCTGGGGCAACATGTCAACGTAGAGGCCTCTCGGCTCCTTGTTATTCGGGGTTCTCCTAGAAGGCTAAAGAGGACTTTGTGTTCTGATTTAGCGCAAAATGCGCTTCTCTTTCAATCTATATTAAAGAAAATTTGATGGTTGGTCTAAGGGGACTAGTATCAGAATATGAGGAGGAGGTTTTTGTGGTAAAACACATAACTAACTATGGGTTGCCAGGGAATGGCATGTTAGTAGCATTCATGCTTTCCTCCTTCCTTCGATGAAAAGAAAAATATATAATATGTAATATCATTTTCGTTTTTTTTTCTTCTGCGTGTTATTTTTTTTCGTTTTCTTTTTGTATGTTATTTCTTCTACGAGCGTTGGAAATCTTACTGAGGCTGGATATTAATCAATTATACCGTTCATTTCTCAAAAATGTTAAATTAAAAATATATTAAAAAGAATAACATTATTTTAGGAACGTGAATACGTTTATATGTATGTATATTTTTAATGTGAAAAAAATTTTCATGAAATATATAAATATATATACATATACATGCATAATAACAATTGTAAAATTAAAAAATAGCTTTGTTTTTATACCCTGGACCTTCGTGAATGGTATATACAAACTTTCAGAAGTAATACCTTTTGTCCCAAGGATCTATTTTAATTGAACCAATTCTTGGAACAAGAGAATTGGTTTGGGTAGCTACCATAAAACTCAGAGAATATTTTAAATATTTTAAAAACTAATTAAGGTATAAACATGAAACTTTGTGTACGTTGCCAACATACATTTTATGTATGCTCTAAAACTTTTAATGGAATGGTTTGACAGGTTCGAGTAATTGCCGTACAGTCATGTAAGCTAAACATAGATTACTATAATGTACAAGACATGTTAATATTTTTGTATTTGTGTCTATTGATTATTGTACAAAAAATGAGACAGGATTTTGAAGAAAGTAGTACTAAAATTTGTTTAAAAAGAAAAATCACTTAATAAATTAGTAAGATTTGGTGTACTTTTTAAAGTTTTATTTGTAATCATATTTAAATAAAATATAATAGTATATTTGATTACGTTCATATAAATAGAAATGCCCCGAAAGTGTTGCGTCGAAGGATGCAGAAGCAATAGTCTACGAGAAAAGGCGAACGTAAATGCTATACCTACATTTACTTTGCCAAAGAACGAAGTCATCAGGGACAAATGGAACCTTAAATTTTATTTTGTTGCTTGTGGCAAATATAATTTAATTCAAGTACCTACTAATGTTAAGATTTTAACAATTTAAATTAGTATGTAATTTAATCTCTTATAAAAGAAATTTAAAAAATTTTCTGAATTTAGTTGAATACATAGGTACATTTATGTCATAAAATGAATTGCTTTTCTCATCAAATATTACTATTCCGCTATTTTGTAATGTATTTATTATTTTGGTTTTAACTGAAAAGTATTTTGCTACCTATAATTTATTATAATGTAATTTGTCACCTGTAATAAGCAACTATGTAGTTTGTAAGAACAAGAAATTTAATTTGGTTAATATTTAAATGAAATAAAATAATTTCTGTATATTTTTTGTATATAATAGTTTTTTATTTTACAAACATCCCAAATCACCATATGAACATTTCTAATTTATTCGAAAATACCTAGTATAAAATATATTTCTTAACAAAAAGTACGATGATCAATTTTTAATACACCGTATGAATGTATTAGTAAATTGTGTATTGTCAAGTCTTATATAAAGATGGCTGTGAAGCTAAATCTAAATATTTCTATGAGGGTGTACTTTATGTTGGCTGAATTTTTATTTTATGTCAAATTGACAATGTCAAATTTTATGTTTTAGCAAGTTTTAGCATTATCATAATGTCTTGTATTCAATGAAACCAAATTGTAGGCTATTTTAAGTTATTATTTAAATTTTCGTTTTCTGAAAAAAATTTTATTTTATTTTGTTGTAAAATTATGAAGTTTTCTTTACCAGTAAAGCAATTTCTAAAAAGTTGATATACGATGTACGATGATTGGAAGATTTGTATATAAAAATAGTAAAAATATAAAATTAAAAAACAAAAATTATTAGGAAAAATTAAGTGTAGTTATTTAGTTATGCATGTATAGAATATTTTTACAAATTTGTGTAGTAACCGTTATAAAGCAGAATTTTTATTCGCTTCTATGATCGATATTCGCTTCTAGTACACGATACAGCACATTGTGATAAAAGTTCATAAAGTATCAATATATTCAGCCCTATCATGAATTTCGTTCATAGCTCCGAAATTCGGACAATTACGAATTTTATATTCTCAGTTGCTATTACTAAAACCCTACTACCAATATTCGCAATTAAGTAATCATAAATTACGTTCGTAGTAAAAGAACCTTCAAAAGTCTGCGAAAGAAATAGTCACACGTAACAAGCAGAGTGGTTGTTTGAAATTTTCAAGTTTTCAATTTTTTTGCTTAAATTTGAGTTGAGTTTAGGTTTGAGGAAATTAATTCATATTTGCTAAAAAAAATGTTTTTCACTTTTTAAAAACACTCAAAAGACTAAAAAAAACTGCGTTGTTAAAAAATATCATTTTTTATTTTAGAACAACCAATTTGGAATAGAATTTTGTAATGAATTAACAAAAGAAAAAATAAAATAAATAATAAGAATATATATTGCAAAGGCGTGGAACGAAGTATATGTATTTTTAAAAATATATATATTTTTATAAATATAAATTAACTTGTGTACATATTTTTTACTTTTGGAATTATGTTCAAAAGAAATTTCAATAAACTATTAAAGATATATTAATGTACCAGTTTTTAACACTTCGCGCTTCATATATAATTGCTTCATATTTAAAATGACAACTGCGAGTTTTCAGTAATATGAAATTTGAACGTCAACGTTTCTTTTTAATGTTCTTAATTTTTTATTTTTTTTGGTGTACAATTAGCTCTTGCACAAAAATCACAAACAAACAGTGTTTCATTTTAGACTTTACTTAAAAAGTTACTGAGGAAGTGAATCAAAAAAAAATGTCAAATTTTTTACAAAGTGACCAATTGCTACAAAATTTATCCTATTTGATTCGTTTTTTCATCATAGTTTAACAGATTTTGAGTTGGTCTTCAAATTTTTTCAACCTCGTAATAATTTTTTTTGTGCGATGCCCAGTTTCCGATGTAATGCGGTTGTAAACTGGTCAGTGTTTATGGAAAATCGTTTTACGATTTATACGATTACACCAATACGAAAAAGTTAGCTGCTGTTTACTTTACGACAAGATTTTTTTCTTTATACGGCAAAATTTAAAATCAAATCTACGGGAGTTTGATGATTGATAATATTTGATGGAGCCAGGACTTTACACGTTAAAGTCTAATATTATTTTTTTACTCATTTCAATATTGTGATTAGAGAAATCAGCTAACTGCTATATACAACTTACAGAAAAAATTAATTGCCGCTTTTTCACTCTTGAAAAGTTACAGTAAATCTGATAAAAATAGAGTAACTTCTATTATTTGCCGTCAGAAGCGGCGTTACAATAAAAGCTGATGAACATTAGATTTATTTTATATCTTGCAATGACTTACTTTTAACATAAAAGTTTTAAATACTTACAATCTATAAACTGGAATTAAAAAAAGTTTAGTTTGCGCTATATTGTTTTTAAAAACTTAACAAAAATCTGATAATAATTGGATAGTTTTCTATTTTTCCCATCAGATTTAATCTGTGGTCAGATTTAGATTATGCATCAGATTATACTAAATCTGATCTCTAACAACATGTACACGTACGATTTTAATCAAACTGAGATTCTATCTTATATTTTGTCGTATATATTATCAACAGTACCTTACAATTATTAACTCTTGAAGAATCTTTGATTAATTCAGTGGACTACTCACTAGTGAATAATAAATGAAATTTGTTTCGTCATAGTTTTGACTTTTGAGTACTGTGATCACCCCTACCCCTGTACAAAACATAATCCTAATATCAAGAAAATAAAAATTTATTTGATTTAGATAGTTATTAATAATGAGTGATTTTGTTAAATCGGCTATTGATATTTTAAGTCGTACGCAAAAGGAAGATGAACAAGGATTCGTTGGCGAAATTATTGAAATTAATGGTTTAAAATTTAAAGTGAAAAAGTTTTTGGCCGCTGGAGGATTTTCTAATGTTTATGCCGTATCAAACAAAAAAGGGGAGTTTTTTGCTGTAAAAAGGCTGAGTGGGTTCGATAAAGAAGGCTGTGACAAAATTCTAAAAGAAGTAGATGTGCACAAAAAATTATCAAATGATAACATTGTGAAATTGCATGGAGTTTCCCTTATTCAAAAGAAAGTCGGGAGTTTAAAGGTCGCGGAATATTTACTTTTGACAGAATTATGCCCGTTTTCATTAGTTGATATTGTAAATGAAGAACTGCAATTATTCACAATTTTGAACATAATGAATCATGCAATAAGTGCAATAAATTATTTACATGGCTTGCAGCCCCCTATAATTCACAGAGATATAAAGTTAGAAAATTATTTGATTTCCGTAGATGGGATTTTAAAGTTATGTGATTTTGGATCTGCAACAACTGACGCTATCAAACCAAACGAAAACTGGAGCATGAAAAAAAGGGAAGAAATTCAAGAAGAAATTTTTAGTAACACATCACCAATGTATAGAGCACCCGAAATTGTAAGTACATGGGAAAATTATGAAATTAGTTTGAAGGTAGATATATGGGCTATTGGGTGCGTGTTTTATTGTATTTTATATAAAAAGCACCCATTCGAAGATGCTGCAAAGTTACGCATTATAAATGGAAATTATGTTATACCTAATATGACAAAATATAATTGCTTCCATACTCTGATCAAAAAATGTCTAATTGTTAATCCTAAATTTAGAATAGGATCATGTGAGGCTGTAAATATTTTGCAACATATCAGTAGGGTGAACGGACATAAAGTTTCAGAAAAAATTAACTTGGCTGAAGTTATGTCACAAAATATTGAATCTACTATATGTACTAATGAACGGAGTATCAAAGGTAGAAGTTTTGAAACTGAATCAAATATATTAGACAATTCGGACTCACTTCAATCCTTAATAAATGCCAATGCGTTCTTAACTTCAATTAAAGGTGGCGCAAACTTAATATTCAAGAACTTTCTGGGATCATCTTCTAAAGTTTTGAATTCCGTATACAATAATAAGGCAAGCAACATTTTTAGCATAACTAGTAGAATTATCGTCTCGTACGAATCAAGTCAAGACATTTTGAAAAAACATCTAGAAAGTATATACTTGTTGTCAAATATTAGTGTTTATGCTTTTTGTTTCAATAACTTTCGTTTACCGCCACCAGTGAGAACCATTCAGATAAGTTCATTGAACTATAATTGGAAAATTAAAACTCTAGATTTAGAATTTCTATATAACCTTGTTGAAGAAATATTTGGGTTTCTAAATTCTGAAAAAAAACATATTTTAGTTTTACAAGAAAGTAAATGTTGTAATATAATAGTGGTAGTGGTATGCGCTCTGTTTTTATATTCTGGTTTGGTTGAATATATAGAAGATGCTCTACAAATTTTTGCTGTAAGGGTACAACCAATAAAAATATTTGCTTCGGAATTTCGATACTTAAATTATTTTAAGCAAATTCTTAAAGAAAGTATTCCACATCATAAAAATTTTAATTTTGTTTCCTTGACTTTAGAAAAATTTAACTACAAACTAGAAGGAGGTACATTATTTGTAGAAATTTATGAGAACAATAATTTTGTACATTCGTGTAACATAATGAATTTATCAAATAATGCAGGGATTATGATAAATAAAAAATTAATTGGAAATATTTTGATATTATTTGCAAATCAAAAAAATTCTGTGAAATGCCTTGAAAATAATATTAAAAATAAATTTGCAAGTGTACAATTTCACACTGGTTTTTTAACTAATCACAAATTATTAAAATTTTCAAAAGAAGATATTGATTTTGACAATGACGATACGGATTTATCTATTTTAATTAAATATACTTTAGATGAGGAAACGGTAAGCATATCGAAATGTTGGGAAAATGTCCGACTGAAGAAAGATCCGATAAATCTTTTCAGTTCTCAATATGAACATAATGAAGTAATTGAAAATTTTGTTGTAAATAAAAAGTGTTCGAAACAATTAGAAGAATCCGAAAATGCTTCAATTAGCAACAATTACGATTCTGAATTTCGAGAGCGTCATTCTCATAATATAAAAGATTTCGAAAATTTCGGCTCTATTAAAGAAGCAAGTTGTTCAGGAGATAGCACGGACGTTCCAGTATTGTTGGATTTTACAGCAAATTGTCCAGAAGGATTTGTAGATACCCATAGTATTACAAGTATAGTGCCACAAGAATTAGCAGATATTTTCGGACCATCATTTGAAAATACATTTGAAAATTTGTCAATCAACCCAACCCAAACGCAAAAAAAAGAAAAAGATCCTTTTGGTGATTTACTTGAGTTCTCTTTTAGTGATAATGGTGAAAAAAATTCTATTTCGAAACAAGAACAAATTGACCCTGCTGTGAAAAAAAATGTAGATCAAAAACATAAAAAAACGGAGAAATTAGAGAAAAGTTTCGGAAATTTTTCCAAAAATAGCATTAGCAGTTCAAGCTCTTGTCAAAAAAATTCTCAACAGGATAGCGATTGTTTTGCAGATCTGTTAGGCCAACAAGGATATAGTTTTGCGAAAAAAATGACATCGGAACCGAAGACTATAAACGATTTAAGAAAAAAAGATGTCTTAAATAACTTAGACGAAGAAAGTTTAAAGATATATAAATGGACTCAAGGAAAAAGAGCTAATATTAGAGCCCTGTTATGCTCAATGCACACTATATTATGGAAGAATGCAGCGTGGTCTAAATGCGAAATGCATCAACTAGTTACTTTTTTGGAAGTTAAAAAAGCATATAGAAAAGCATGCCTTGCAGTTCATCCTGATAAGCATATTGGAACAGAAAATGAAAAACTTTCTAAGTTAATATTTATGGAATTAAATTCAGCATGGAACAACTTCAATACAGAAAATTCATAGAGCTCTTACAAAATTTAGATATATTTTGTTATAGGTTGCATAGCTAAATCTAATAAATAGAATTAAAATTTGTCAATAAAATACAATTTAACGTAAAAAAAATGGTAAACTATCTTTTCGTCGTTTTGTAGTTTTGATACAAAGACAGAAACATTGTAACGTAAAAGTAAACTTTTGATCCTGATTTACTCTTGTTTTAATTAATAGTATTATTTTCAACACCAAATATTTTGAAATGTTGCTTTTCTTCTACTTACATATATATTTAGATATTTCGAAAGCACAAATATAAAGTAATATGTTGATTTCAAGCCCTTTCAAAAACTTTTTCTCGGAACGGATATTATAATATATATAGTTTATCGATATATGTAATTGCCTTTAATTCCTTTTGTTTCGTCATCATATGAATAAAGGAATGAATCGATTAGGTTTTTGGAGGGTGAGCTGACCACAATTAGATGCTCATATGAGAAAATTTTCATTCAATTATTATTCAATTTTCAAGTTAAAACAAAACTAAAAAACGAAAGGGAAAAATGTGAATTTTTCTAAAATTAGTATGATTGGTATTCCTGAAGAACATAAAATGCGAAACAGAGTAATAATGTTGATTTCAAACCCTTTCAAAACTTTTCTTCTGTATTTTTTCGGAACGGATATAATTAATAATTGAAAAACGGGTAAATAGAAATTACGAGTAAATTCACAAAATTATTGGCACCGTTTAAAGATCTGACTTGATGACAACGTTTAATTGAATGAAGATCTTGATATTTGATATCGTATGACAGATAAAATTTAATATGATTTTTTTTTTTTTTGAAAGATATGCCTTGTTTTTTTTTCTTATTGTTTCGCTTGTTCTTTCTATTGTTGCTTTTAGCACTTTTTCAAAAATTTTTTGAAAAGTGCTTATTAGTTTCACTCTGTCCGTCCGTCCCTTCGTCTTTCCGTATGTTTGTTTACAGAACTTCTACACCCTTGAAGATAGAAGGCTGAAATACTTGCATAGATCTTTACTAGAAACTTATTTTTGTAGAACAAAATTTTTATCTATCTCCCCCCCTTTAGAAGTTATACCCCCCCGAAACCTTAAAAATGCCATTTTTTAACTGTTTAGTACAATGAAACCATAAGCATTTTTCAAATTTTGCAAACGCAGAAAGGCAGTGGCTTGCTTCCCCTAGCGCGGTATACTATAGGTTTACCTTATATTTCCGAAACCGCAAATTTTTTCAAATTTCTATAAATGCAGAAAGGTAACGGTAAATTCCGTTACATTAAAAAATGTAATTATTTTTCTTAACTCATACTATCAACCCTTAAAATCGAGCATTATGTTAAATCCACTTTTTATTAATTTTTGCTTTATTTCAAAGACTGCATGTATGCATCATCCTTAATATATGCAATCCTAGAAATACGAGTAGTTCCGTATATGAATAAAAATAATTTTAATAGTGTGATAGGTATACATAGACTATATTTTAAAAGCAGTATTTTCACTTGTTGAAGGGAAAAGTGCTACAATACAAACCATTGGTTTAACCCAACCTTATTATTTTGTATTTTTGAGCTTTTTACCAGTTTCTTGAATTGTTGAAAGTGGTTATTTAGTAAAATTATAATTAGTGAAGAGTTAACTGAGTTTATAACAAAGCTCCGAATAAGACAATGCCTATTTAATTATTATAAATTAATTTTTTTTTAACGTTTCTTATATTTCATACATACATACATTATTTTAAAAAAATTAAAAATTAAAATTTAAAATTCTCCATGAATCAATAAATCAGTAACCTGTGGTTGCTTCTATCTTGCATAATATTCTTAGAGGATAATCCACAATGAAATAACTTTTAATATTTTTACTTTCATCTTTATTTTAAAAACCTGCTTTATTAATTTGAAAATTACGGTACTAACTTGAACACAAAATTTTAAAAATAAACACAAAAATAAAAAAAACCTAAAAGTTTTAAAAATTTGATGGTTTGAGAGTTTGGACGCGTAAAGAGAATTTTTTTCACACTGTCAAGCAAAACCTTATGTGCAAAATTTACCTTTGTGCAACAAATTAGCAATACTGAAGAAAAAGAAGTGTCTTGAAAAGACAATGAAGCCAAACTTTTTCCAGTTTTTTCTTTCATTGCATCATTTCGCTCCAAGCATTGTCAAAGCCGTAACAGGAACGTATTTATTTACATAATTGTACCATAATTGTAAGAAACATAAGTTAAATATTTCGTTTTTTAAAGTAAAAACCAAAAAATTTTGAAATATTTTTTTATTTCAAATATATATAAAACAAATCAAATTTACAAAAGGCATTAATTTTATTTTCTCCTTAAATAAATTTATTTTATAAATTTTGAAGGATAATTTTCTATTTTATAAATATGTATTTCTATACTACAATATCTTACAGCCCCTGATTTGAACACATTTTCTTTATATTGTGTACTGCTGTGTTACTTGCAATGTACTTTTTGTAGATGACGATGATATTAACAAAACATTTATCAATATGGGCTCTAAAACTATATATTTTTTAACAAGTTTAACAATATTTCCCTTTTTTAATCATGTTGTCGTATATTTCGACATTAATTTACTGAGCTTCACATACTTGTCCATTCTAAAATTTAAAGCAATATATTTTATAAGTAACACGCGCTAAAATTTTATTTTACTTACTGCATTGAACGGTACCGTGTGCGCTTTCATATATTTTTTGTTGACCAAATCTTCACTCTATAAAGAGAAATATTATCAAAACAAATTTATTAAAAAAAATATTAATTACCTGAAAATTAGGTACAGCATCAAGCGTTAAATAAATTCTACCACATACTTTCTTTTTATTTTTTGATTCAAAATTAATAAAATTCTTTCTTAATAATTTCAATCCATTTTCTTAGGATTTCATCATTTTTTATATAAAAAAAAGATCAATTTAAAATATTGTATGTATGCATTTTATCAAACACAAACTAATTTTGCTTAGAAAATAAAATCCAGTCCTATTAAAACAATGTCTATATTCCAAGCAATTTTAGTATAAAAAAATGTTTCCTTTCAACATTAAAAACTTAAAAAATTGAATAAATAACATATTTCTTTAAATCATTAAAATAATATTCGCATACATACATATGGTGGGAAACTTGAATTTGTTCTTTCAAATAATAGCCAAAGTATATCTATGTGTGAACCCCGGTAATGGCGGAGGATAAAGGGGTGATTGAAACGATCAAAGTTACGTTCGTGTCGTGGTCACGTCTCGCGGCGAACCGCTTGCTTTGTGACAAACACAACAACTGCAACAACAACAATAACAACAGTGACAATTACAACAACAACAACAACACTAAGGACAACATTAATACAAACACAGTAAGCGCTCAAGGGTCTGCGGAACCAGAGCTTCTCTTAACTCACGCAGAGGAGGAACTCCTTCCCATGCCAGTAGAGAAAAGGCGGCGCTTCCGATGGAGACGGATAATCAGGATTCTCTTGGACCTATTATCCAACAAATTGAGGAGGACCTGAAAAGATTGGACATCAAGGGAAAAAACCAATATTTCTCTGGTGCATTCAAGCAGCGTATCGCAGCATATATCAGGAATGGCATGTCCCCAGAGGAAGCTCGCAGATATGAGAAGGAAAGGCTTGAAAAGCTGCAACGTCGTGGTACTGGGTGGCGACGAAATGCCCAAACAGCATGTCTGCGTCACCTACGTACCAAAGGACGAGACAACCGTCAGTCTCTGCAGGGACAAATTTCTAAGCAGGATAGGGAAGCAAAATCCCAGCCTCAAGATGAATTCCTGGAGGGTGCCGAGGATGAATAAGGAAAAGGACGGAGACTGCTCCATCACCTTTTTCGTGGATGATTCCGGATTGGAAAATCTACGGAAAGCGGAGTTCCGACTCTTCCTGAACTCCTTCCGTGTTACCGTTCGGGTTAAAAGAAGGAATCCTCTCAAGGTGTTGGCGGCAAGGCAGGACAAAATAAAAAACCAATGGCCACCGCGACAACGACGAGCACTTCAGGCCAACCAAATGAGTCGATCAGCACGCCAAATACAAGCGTCCCAGGTGATCCAAAAGGCCTCAAGTCCATTTTGAAGCCCGGAACTGCTTCGGTATTTGCTGTTGGAGGGACTAGCGTGGCACCTAGCACGGCAAAAGGATGATGAAGATGCGTAAAAAGGGCCTAACAGGTGAGCTATTTTATGATAATACAATTGGAGGCAGCCCTAAGGCTTGCATTTTGTTTAGTAAAAGGCCAGCGTATCTTCCCATTCCAGATTACTGTTCTAAGGATCAGGTAGCCGCGTTGATGAAGGTTAAGTCTTCCGGGGGTTGGACAGAGTTTATTGTGTGCTCATCCTACCTCCCGAGAGACTGTGCCCACCCAGACGAACAACTGAAAGGTCTAGTAGACTTTTGTGGAAGGAGGAACTTCCAACTGATAAAAGGAAGTGATGCTAATGGCCACCACACCATCTGGGGAAGCAGTAATATAAACAAAAGAGGTGAGTGCCTACTTGAATTTATATTTAGCAATAAATTAATGGTTAAGAATGAGGGCAGTAGGCCGACATTCATAAATGCAATTAGGGAAGAGGTCCTTGACATCACCCTTTGCACTCAAATGAGACATCCATGTCAATCATAGGCAGATTAGGTTTGATAACATGGTTTCCTGGCAGAAGAAATGTATCGGGTGCCCCAATCCACAGAATAGAGTCAGTTCGAAATACTCCTCATGGATGGGATTAGATCTATTCTCGCTTCTGTCAGAACGGCGATGAATATCCAACTGGCCAGCGAGGCTCTGACGGCGGCTGTTACTAGTGCCTACCAAGGGAGCTGCTGCGCTAAGATGAGGCGGAGCAATAGGAAGTGCCCGCGGTGGAATGAAGACCTTTCAAGGCTTAGCCTAAGTCCAGAAAGCTATTCAATAAGGCCAAGGCTTTGGGTTCGTGGGAAGAGTATAAAAACTCAATCACGAAATACAATAAGGAAATTAGGAAAGCGAAGAGAATTTCGTGGAGAGCGTTCTGCAGGTGCATTG